CTATGAACTGGCGAAATTATTATCTGAAAAAATTACTTACAGAAATGATAGATGTTATTTCATTCATCTGCCACCTCTAAAGCATTCACCATTGAAAATATTAGCCTAGGACACATGAGTAAGTCACAGTAGATGTGTCCCTCCCTCTAGGTTTGCCTTCTGACCCTGTCCTCTATGTGTCACCCAGCACATTATTGGCAGTTTTTAAAATAAACTGTCATGTTCCAGAAGTGTATGCCAGAGAACCTGTCTGGTGGACACTGAATTTCATAGGTTTCAAAGTGACTGGGAATTAGTTTTATAAATGAACAAAGAAATTTGAAAAATAGTGTAAAGGGTGTTTTTATTTGATGCAAATATTTTTTTTCAAAATTAATTTATTTATGCATACAAGAACTGGGGTACAGGCCAGAGGTGTGTGGGGTGAGAGGATTCACCAGAGACAGAGTAGGGAACAGAACAGGCAGACGTACTGAAATACACTGCTGAGGGAGCAGTGGGGCAAGTCAGGAGCGGTCTGCTGTGCCATGTGGGTTGCTAACTGGCCAGCTGGGGATCGAAATCGTGCTGCAGTGGCTGCGGATAGCTTCATAGTTTGCGTCTTAACCTCTTGCGCCACCAGGGAGGCCCTGATGCAAATATTTTGGTAAGGAAATATAATTATCTATTGCTTAGCATTTGGAAAATTGTAGTTTATATTTATGAGATTGTGTTTAAAGTTTACGTATATAGATTTACAAATTCTATATTTCATTCAACACTCAAAAAGAAAGATTTCTTATTTTCCTGGCCATGTCAGCAAGACCCAGTCAAGAGTACAGGATTGCTGGAGCAGAGCACTCAGAGAACCACCTGCTGAGTGACCTTGGCCTTGAGAGTTTCAGTGATTCCCAAGAGCACCAGCAGGAGGCGCGCCGACACCATAAACAGAAATACAGCCGTTTCTTTTCTTATGCCACCAGAGGGCGCCCACACTCCCATTCTCACCAAAACCTCCTCAGTTCTGCATAAATCTGAAATTTTAGTCTCAAGGACTTGGGACAGCTTCCCCAGTCAGAACCTGAGCTCCATTTCCAGCAGGCTTAGCAGCCTGAGAGAGATGCAATGGAGGTTTCAGATGTGAGTGAGCTGCTTTCTGTGGTGCTAAGTGATGAGGAGGGAGGTCTGTGTGGCCTCTCACGGACATTTGTCAGTGAACCTCACAGGCCTTTGTATTTGGGGACCATTCCCAATGTTTTATTCTTTATTTTGTCTCACAATATTTGAACAAGATTTATTTTATGAAATGTCCATTGAGACATGAAGACTAAATCAGAGACCCTGTGGTTTATTAACATTATTATTTGTTAGCTTTATACAGATTCAGGAGCTTTTTTCTTGGGAAGTATCTGATACAAATTAAGAGCATTTGGGGTATGAATATACTAAATACATTAACTGGAATAAAAGTGTCGACGATAGATAAAGCATTTATTAGATAATCAAAGTGAGGATTCCAACCTGGGAGGAGAGACTTGCAAAACAGGGTCCCAGCTAGTTGCTTCAACTTTCCCCCAGGTAGGGTTTGGTTTTGTAAGATGTTGAGATTGGTGGTTTTTCTCAGAAAAAAAAAGGGGGGGGGGTTACATTTGAGACAAGGTCATGGCAGAAACAAATAATTTTTTTTTTAGGGTATTTTTCTCAGGGACATAAGTTAATTTCCAGACAGGTAACATGCTTGCCTTAAACTCCTTATCTATGGTAGGTAATTCAGGAGATAAAAGATTCCATCATAAGGAAATACTTGTTTGGTAGGATGTCGGTGGAATGTTCCTGGGGTGCAGTGGGGGCTCTAGCTCCCAGATGTGATTCCTGCTGATAGATAATAGGCCTGACTGCAGGACAAGTAATAGCACATGTGTTTGACCTGCTGACTGCCCTGCAGGTCCTTTGTCTTTGCCCAAAACTTGATTTTCTTTCATAATACTAAATACCAGGACTTTCTGGGAATGAGCTAGAAGCCACAGGCCAAGTCCTTGGAACCCCACCCTGAGGTAAAAGGGAAAATGCCTCCAGTTTGTACATACTTTTATTAATTTTCAGTGGTTAGTTTTTGCAACAATATTGAAGTGGTTGAAAAGTATTAAAAACCTAATTGGTGTAATAAATATTACTTTAAAGTTGAAATACTTATAAGAGCAAAATTTACTATAATTTTACTTTCTTGTCTTTAAAAGAAACAAACTTATCAATATTTGAAAAATATACTTGTTAGCAAAACAAATTCTTAGATACAGAAGTTACCAAAACTTGGGAGTTATCAAAAGGGAAGAGGCTTGGGGGAGGGATAAACGTATGGTGGTGGATGCAAACTAGACTTTTGATAGGAATCATGATGCAAAATATAGCTGCTGTACACCTGGAACATATAATGTCATAGCCAATGTGATTCCAGTTAAACACACACACACACACACACACACACACCTGTTAGGTTATCTCCTTTTCAATTGAGAGATTTATCGTGTATTATGATTTCTCAGCTTAGAGAAACCTCACTCACCCCTCTCCCCCCCACCCCCACTGCAACTATTCTTGTTAAAAGAAATTGTCAAGACCACTTCTAAATTTGGAAATGATGGTACTAAGCAAAATTTGTCAATCAGTTTTAGAAGAAAAAGCATGATGGTGTCTTTTAATTTATTTGAATGAATGCTTGCATCCCCTCATTTGCACATTTCCAAATTCCTTTCTCTCTGGTTTATTTTTTCATTCAGATATTATATTCAGGTATCCTCCTAAGTTTTACATTCATCACACATGCTTTCAAGACTCCTTTCATGTGTTGTAAGATAGAAGCTGACTCTACTGGACAAGATATTTTTTGTTGTAGATCTTTATAAATTTTTTTCTACTGGATGGAAAATATCATCCCACAATAAGCTACATTAAAAAATCTATTTGTGTGAGGGCCTCCCCGGGTGGCACAGCAGTTGAGCGCTGGGCTGCAAAGCTGCCTGAAACTTCTGCAGTGCCGGTTCGATCCCCGGCTGACTGCGAGGGTCCCACATGGCGTGCAGACCTCTCCTGCCGTTCCCGCTGCTCCCCTCAGCAGTGTATTTCATCAGTCTGCCTGTTCTGCTCCCCGCTCTGGCTTTGGTGAGTTCTCTCACCCTCCCGCGCTTCTGACTGTACCCAGTGCTTGTATAAATAAATAAATACATAAATAAACCTTTTAAAAAAATCTATTTGTATGATTTGATTTCATCCTAGTGTATTTCTTCACTTGCTATTTTATACAGATATAAATATTGACTATATAACTATGAGATGTGAGACCATCCCACATGTTTACAGAATTTGAAATACATAGCCTATCCATGTTTTAAAGGTTTGCATACTTAAATTCAAAGAAGAAAATTTTCATATGAAATGAAGGCTGTGAGCTAAGCAAGGTGTTAAACATTTCCTAGAAACAAATAATGGCTTCTACCCTTTTATACAACTGCCATAGTTTCATCTTATATAACCTTCCCTTTTTTCTAATTTGATTGTAATTTCATAAATTAAAACATTCTTTTTTTCTGTTCTGTGATAAATCAATGAAGCAATCTTCTATTTTTATCCCAGTATTCTTAAATGTGACAGCCCTTGTAATTGAAGCATTTCCTCATGATGGGCTGCCTATGGTTTACAATCATTAACTAAGGAGAAATATTTTTCTTTTTATATTCTCAATAATGTTTTGGGTCTAACATAGTTCTCAAGTAGCCTTTCAAATTGCTTTTGAATTTAATTACACAAATAATCCCAGATTACACCTGTCATTATTTATGTAGCTACGTGTTTAGGGGTAGCAACATTATAATCTGCAATTCTGAAATATTGTAGTGTTTGGGTTTCCAAGTCAGGCTGCTGAGAGACCTCACTTAGACACTTAAGCTCCTTCTCTAAATCCTCTCTAGGCCATCTGTGCTGCTGGGTAGCAGCTGCCGGGCAGTTTTTTTTTTTTTAGAAAAAAAAATATTACATATATATTAATATATTACATCATTGTTCATTATGTATAATGTTTGATTTTTCCTCTCATGTATAATCCCCATAAAATTCCCACCACCAAATCACCTGTGAACTGTCACCATAATCTCTTGTGCTTTTCCCTCCCGTTTTGATCCTTCTCCTTCCCCTTCTCCTGCTGTATGTCTCCAATTTATAGTTGCCTAAGTTTTCTCTTTTTTTTCTTTCCTTACCCCTTGTTTGGTTTCCCTATATGTCTCATCAAACTAAAAACTTCTGTACAGCAAAAAAAGACAACCACCAAGATAAAGAGACACCCTACAGATTGGGAGAAAATATTTGCATTCCACAAAATAGATAAAGGACTGATCTCAAAGCTCTACAAAGAACTTACACAAAAAATGGGCAGAAGAACTAAAATGAAACTTCTCCAAAGAGGAAATGCAAATGGCCAACAGGTTTATGAAAATACTTTAACAGCATTTATAATCAGGAAAATGCAAATCAAAACCACAATGAAGTATCCCCTCACACCAATAAAATGGCCCATGTTAAAAAAAACCAAAAAACAAAACTTAACAACAAATGCTGGTGAGGATGTGGAGAAAAAGGAACTGTTGTACACTGTGGTGGGAATGCAAACTTGTCCAACTACTATGGAAAGCTGTGTGGAGGACCCTCAAATTTCTAAAATGGATCTACCATACAACCCAGCAATTTCACTACCAGGAATCTACCCAAAAGAGACAAAAACATTCATTAAAAAGGAAACCTGCACACATATGTTTATTACAGCACTCTTTACAATAGCTAAGATATGGAAACTAAATGTCCAAAAACAGATGACTGGATCAAGAAGATGTGGTGTGTATATGCTGGAATGTTTCATGCTGTGAGGGACTTGCCCTCATCAAATCTGTCAGAGTTGCCCAAACGAAGTTTGTTGCCTGCTCCCACCACCTCCTGATCACATCTTGTTTCTTTAGCTAGAAAAAAACTCCTTGAACGCATTATATTCTTCTAATGTGTTTATTTTTGTGAATTGAAACTATCTGATTCTGCTGTATTACTCCAAAAATGCATGCATGGGAAGGGAATGAAAGCAAAGATTCTTTAGAAAAAAATGAGAAAGTCACAATGAATCATCTGGCATGTGTACATTTTCTGGTCATTATTGATACTGCCTTTGTTCATGTGGCAGAAGTAGCATTTGCCCAGTTCCTTCCTTGTCCACAGCATATGTTCTCTTTGATGAAATCACAATATGCACATCTCAAGGGACTATCACCTCTTTGAGGGCTGAGTATTTACATAAATAATACAATGTCTTCTACATAGAAGGTATTTATTTCTGTATGGACTCATGGAGTTTTATATTTTCCATAATAATGCAAAACTACTGTATTTTGCTGCTTAATGGCTTTGGCCATTGGGTTTGCTTTCAGTTGACTCTTTAATATGCCTACTCAGGGCATATAGAGAAAATTTTGCCTACGTGATCCTCTTGGGGAGACTGATCCTATAAGCACAATATCATTATAAAGGATAATCAAAAAGTCAGTTATTATAATAATTTGCATACAGGTGAATTTATTTCATATAAGTATATATGCATACATAAATAAAAAATAGTGTTGTCTCATAATATGAATAAATCCAGTCAGTGAATAACATTTACACACAGTACAAAGTCATACTTATTGAGATTGAACTGTTAAATATTCTAAAAAGAAACTACATTTTTATAAAAGGACACATTAGATGCTTGGTAAGGGATATCTGAAAATACAGTATATGTTCGTACATTTGCATTAGGAAATTCATACTGATAGAAAATGCAGATCAGTATATTTTTACATAATTAACATAATCTGTCAACCTAACAAACATATCAGGATATTCTCATGCAGCCAAATAACTGCAACGTTGAGTATCAGTCAGTCTCTTGCGATTGGTTCTGTGCTTTTAAATCCAGTTGTCATGACATTGCAAATAGCCTCAGCTCAGAAATTCCTGTCATTTTTATGCATAAACTATGCAGAGGGTTTGCTTAGAAACTCCTTGTTGAAGAATCTTCTTGCCTCAATATTACTGAGAGAAACAGAACAACGAGATGGATTCTGTCTTCTATATTCAATGCTTTCAATGATGGCATTCTGTATCACCTACAGACAGAGGAAATACATGTTAAATTAGTGCTGCTCTCAACTCATTCAAACATTTGTTTGGTCAAAGCAAAAATCAAATTGATCTTTTTATCACAGTATTCTTTTAGAAGGAGAGACGCTTTGGGGTCATGCATGCGTTTATTAGTTTAACACTAGGGTCTGGCAAGATGGTGGAAAAGTGAAGCTGCCAAGTTACCCTCATCCTCCCCCTCCTCACAACATATTCACAACCAGACTACACTTAAACAGAGAATAACTCCTGAAAGATGGAAAATGACCACTGTAGGCATCGAGAGGGCTGACACAGAGGAAGGGAGTAGGAAATTCAGTAATTTAACTGCGTAGAGTGATCCCATAGGGAGAAAAGGTGGCTATCCAAAGTCTCTCTGCCATTGTTGTTGAGGGTTCACAGCTCATCGGGGACTTTAGAATAGAACTCGGGGGACTAGATTACAGAAATGATGCACAAAACTGGCCTGCAGGATGGAGGGTGCACTATCAGAGAACAGGCACAGAGATAAGAGGGCAGAGACCCCCTGGCAGAGCACTGCTAGAGGAGGCAGATGCCTGCAAATACAGAGATATACCACTGGAGAGCAACAGGGCACCCTGAGCTGGAGAATGAAGCACCTCACACCACCAAAATGGGGAACTGAGAGCAGACATGGTCTTGGTGACTGCCAGTGTGGAGTCTATGAGGTGGTGATTATTGGTTTGAGCCTACATCTCCAAATGGAGAATAACTGGAACCTGAATAGCCAGGGAGGGTTGCTTGGAATGCCTGTTTCCCTACAGAAGAGGCTATTTTCTGCAGCCTGGAGCTGTGCATGTGAAACACCTGCCTCACTCCTACCAGGGGCCAAAGCCGCAATAACAGCTAAATAGTACATGGTCATTAATCAGATTTCAAAACAATTGGGACCAAGAACTGGAGAAAGTGCCTAAAGGCAAGTTCCATACTTGAAAGGCAAAGAGAATAAATCCTGTATTGTGAACATTTCAACTCAAATCTCTTCTCAGTGCTGCTGTTCAACCATAGCTTAGAAGTTGAGGGAGATTAGAGAAGAACAAAGACCCCGGGAGACGCGCACACAGCCCGGGCTGCCGGTAAGCTTGCGCGGGAAAGCGGCGCGCTGGGTGAGCTTGAAAAGCAAGTGTAGACCTGGATCGTGGCGGCCCAGGTACCCGCGCCTGCGACCTAGGCTTGCGGGGAGACGCGCGGAGGTCCTCACTGAGGTGAAGGTCCCTCCCTGAGTAAGCAGGAACCAGGCGCCCAGACACGGGAGCGGTGCAAAAGGCGCCATTCCCGCGCCACTGAACTGGGCTACAGCCCGCGTCCTGGAACTGAGGGCTTTGAACTGAGACCCGGGGCATGAAAATTCGGGGCGTGGGTTCTCCACGATGGTGGGGCACAAGGCAGACACAGCACCCCAAAGTTGTTGAGGTGTACCCTACCATTCCCGCTCTGTTCCCTGTCCCACGGGGTGGGGGGAGGCGAAAAACAGCCCCCCAAGGACAATAGGAGAGATCTCTGGCGCCACCTAGCGACCAGGAAAAAAAAGTCACTAACACCCCATAGAACAGGAAATTTCTTAAGACTGCTTGAAAAGGGCAGAAGGCTTCTGGAGGACCCAGTGGCCAGCCGGGAAGTTAGCCCACGCCAGGCCCCTTCCGACCAGCAGTCTGAGCCCACAGAGGGAGCAGGCACCCACGTCCGGGGCAGACCAGGTGCGCAGAATAGTGTGCCTGAAACCGGAGGCGCAGGGACTGTATCCTGCTTCGCCATTTTAGAACAGGGACATTTCTTCAGTAAAAACTGCCTAAAACCAGCAGAAAGCTCCCCCAGAAGACAGAGATGGCTCCTGGAAGAGCCAGAGGGGAGCGGAGAAGTTCACCCAAGATGCCAGTCAGTCCGAGCAACACAGTGTCCCAACGCATACGACAAATTAGAAAACAGACAGTAGGGAGTAGAAGAACCACACGCAACCTAACAACTCCTCAGGAAAGAAGCACACCACAAAAAGAAAACCACTCCCCAGATTGCAACGACAGCAACTTGGAAGAACTTCTGAGCCTTCCAGAAAGAGAATTTAAAATTGCCATGATTAAAAAAGTGATAGATCAGAAGAAGGAAATTGAGTCCCTAAAGAGGGAAGTAAAAGAAATGCAGGAGATCAAAGAATTAATGGAGGAACTAAAGAACTCTGGGAAAAGCAATGAAAGCAGAATAGATGAAATGGAAGAACGAATAAGTACTCTTGAAGACACAGAAATAAAAAGAACCAAAACAGAAAAGGAAAGAGAAGTACGAAGGAAAAAGAACGAAGAGAGACTTCGGGAACTATCTGACTCCATGAGGAAAGGAAATATAAGAGTTATAGGAATTCCAGAAGGAGAGGAGAGAGATGTAGGAACAGAGAAAATATTCCAGGAGATAATTGAAGAGAACTTCCCAAATGCGAAGAAGGAGCTGAAAATTGATATACAAGAAGCAAGAAGAACACCAAACTTCCACGACGAAAGGAAAAACACAGCAAGACACATAATAGTAAAGCTCCCAAGAATCCAGGACAAGGAAAAAATAATGAAGCTGACAAGAGGGAAGAAACAGATAACATTCAAAGGAAAACCAATCAGGCTGACATCAGACTTCTCTGAAGAAACACTACGGGCAAGGAGAAAGTGGAGGGACATAGTCAACAGACTCCAAGAAAACAGATGCCAACCAAGAATACTCTATCCCGCAAAGCTCTCTTTCCTCCATGAAGAAAGAATATGGACCTTCCCAGACAAAGAGAAACTCCGGAATTTCATTGCGACTAAACCCCCACTCCAAAAAATACTACAAGGAATCCTAAAGCCAGAACCTCAGAGGGACGAATAACAACGAAAGAAGACCAAAAAAAAAAAAAAAAAGTTATTAAAAGAATAAATAAATAAAATCAAAGGAAAGACAAACATAATGGCAAATACAGATGCTAACATATCAATATTAACTCTAAATGTAAATGGACTAAACTCTTCAATAAAAAGACACAGAGTTGCAGCCTGGATTAAGAAACAAAACCCAACCTTTTGCTGTCTCCAGGAAACACATTTAGCTACAAAAGATAAAAATAGGCTCAAAGTCAAAGGATGGAAAACAATCCTACAAGCAAATGGGCCAAAAAAGAAAGCAGGAACAGCTATACTTATATCAGATAAAACAGACTTCAAACTCAAAAAAATAAAAAGAGACCCCAATGGTCACTACATTATGATTAAGGGGACAATACTTCAAGAAGAAATAACACTCATTAACATATACTCACCAAACGAAAGAGCACCAAAATATATCAGACAACTGTTGTCCTCTCTGAAAACAGACATCAGAGAAAACACATACGTAGTGGGAGACTTCAACACACCACTATCAACAATGGATAGATCAACAAGACAAAAAATAAGTAAAGAAACTAAAGCTCTAAATAAGGACCTAGAGCATTTGGGCTTAACAGACATCTATAGAACACTAAACCCCAAAAAAACGGAGTACACATTTTTCTCAAGCGCACACGGATCATTCTCCAGGATCGATCACATACTGGGGCACAAGACAAACATCAACAGATACACCAAGATTGAAATCATACCAACCATCTTTTCTGACCACGAAGGCATCAAACTAGAAATAAATCATAAAAAGAAGGCAAGGAACTATCCTACCTCATGGAGATTAAAAGCCACACTACTGGAAGACCACTGGACTAACGAGGAGATCAAAGAAGAAATTAAAAAATTCTTTGAATTGAATGACAAGGAGGACACCAATATCCTAAATGTATGGGATGCAGCAAAAGCAGTAATAAGAGGAAAATATATAGCAATAGAAGCTCACATCAAAAAACAAGAAAGAACTCAAAGAAACAACCTAATCTCGAAGCTCAAAGATCTAGAAAAAGAACAACAAAAAAACCCCAAAACCAGTAGAAGAAAAGAAATAATAAAAACCAAAGCAGAAATAAATGAAATTGAAACTAAAAAACAATCCAAAAGATCAATGAAACCAAGAGCTGGTTCTTTGAAAAAATCAATAAAATAGACAAACCCCTAGCCAGGCTCACAAAGGAAAAAAGGGAGAAAGCACAAATACACAGGATCATAAATGAAAGAGGAGAAATCACAACGGACACAGCAGAAATCAAAAGAATAATCAGTAACTACTATGAACAGTTATATGGAAACAGGTTCAACAATCTAGAGGAGATGGACAAATGCCTACAACTCTACAATCACCCAAAGCTAGATAAAGAAGAAATAGAACACTTAAACAGACCAATTACAATTAGCGAAATTGAAATGGTAATCAAAAACCTCCCCAAAAACAAAAGCCCAGGACCTGATGGATTTACAAATGAATTCTACCAAACATTCAGAGACGAATTAGTGCCTATCCTTCACAAACTCTTCCAAAAAATTGAGAAGGAAGGGACAATACCAAACACGTTCTATGAAGCCAATATTACACTAATACCAAAACCGAATAAGGACAACACAAAAAAGGAAAACTATAGGCCAATCTCCCTAATGAACACTGATGCAAAAATCCTCAATAAAATTTTAGCTATCAGACTCCAACAATGTATCCATAAGATAATTCACCACGACCAAGTTGGATTCATTCCAGGGGCACAAGGATGGTTTAACATCCGAAAATCAATCAACGTTATCCAACACATCAACAAAAAGAAATATAAAAACCATATGATAATATCAATAGATGCTGAGAAAGCTTTCGACAAAGTGCAACACCCATTCATGATAAAAGCCCTTGAAATTCTTGGGATACAAGGAACATACCTCAACATCATAAAGGCCATCTATGACAAGCCAACAGCCAGTATCATTCTCAATGGTGAAAAGCTGAAAGCAATTCCATTAAGATCAGGAACAAGACAAGGATGTCCACTCTCACCACTGCTTTTCAATATAATACTGGAAGTCCTAGCCAGAGCAAT